AGATGTTCCTATTGATTGATTAGGAACAGCAAAATGTTTGCAGTCAGAACATTCTATAACAATTCGTAAATTGGGCTAAACTACAAAACAGATTGTTCCCGTCTGTTTTTTGGTGCTTTGCCAAGTCGTGATGCTCGATGCGCGCAAATTGCAAGGCGCAAAGCGTCGATAAGCTTACGAGCAAAGCAAGTCCCGCAAGAAAAAGCTTGTCACGCTTCATAAAGCTTGATACGATGATTTTGTTTCGATGGCGCATTTGGTTCAATTAGAACGAAAAGTTATATTTAACGAAAAAATATGTAAGGACGTCTCTGTCTTCAAAGTCTTCGCGCTCGCAATGTGTGAAGCATTCGCGGTTGATTATGGTCTAAAACGTCGAGCTTTCCTCAAGGGACGAGAATGATTTCCCGTGAAAAGCCACGCCCCAAATGCACTTTTGGGAATGTTGAATTTTTCTAGCAACGCGGTATTTTGCAATGCTACAAAAGCAGTGCCAAACCACCAACACTTTCTTCTTTCTTCTGTGATCTGTTCTACATTTTGCTCGCAACGCCGCATGGAATAAAACACCAAGTGTTTTACAGTCCAGAAGTTCAGAGTTCGATTATCTCAGCTGATTAATAATCTCTTCTACTTCACTGTAGCACAAAAACTAAATGGAAGCTGTACCGAGCTGCTTGAAAATGGTTTCACATCCAGTGGCGTGTACACAATCAATCCAGATGGCGGCAAACCAATACAAGTGTTGTGTGACATGACCACGGACGGTGCAGGTTGGACAGTTTTTCAGTGACGTTTTGACGGTTCTGTTGACTTCTATCTTGGTTGGGAATCCTACAAAAACGGGTTTGGAGATCTGAACGGAGAGTTCTGGCTTGGAAACGACAATCTCCACCGTTTGACAGCCACTGATGACGTCATACTGAGAGTTGACCTGGAAGACTTTGATGGGAACAAAACATACGCCGAGTACACGACTTTTACGGTGGAAGACGAGGCAGATAAGTACCGGCTTTTGATTGGAGGATACAGTGGCACGGCTGGTGAATCTATGATATATCACAAGTAAGAGAAATACTGAATAATTGAGCCGTTAACTTAGGGAACTTAGGGTACCTTTTGAAACAGCTGTGTTGGAATTCTACCAGTGATTCGGCGACACTAGTTGAAAAGCAGTTTAGATTTTGTAATCCCTGTGCAATATATACGGCTGGCAAGTAAGTACAGGTAATAGATTCGATGACGGTGTTGACAAAGTTAAGGTATTAAATAGGCAGATTTTACTAAGTTAATGTAGAATATTGCATTGTTACGGAGAATACTAGTTAATTGTTTTTCTTTCTCTGCTACTGTGTAACTTAAACAGGCATGTTTGTTGTATCTTTAATATCAATCTGTAATTTTCTTTCAGTGATATGCAATTTTCTACGAATGATGACGACAATGACGGCTGGGTTGAAAGCTGCGCACAAACACACAAAGGAAGCTGGTGGTACAATATTTGCCTCGGCGCAAATCTTAACGGACTGTACCTGAACGGAACACATTCTTCTTATGCCGATGGAATCAACTGGGTCACGTTTAGAGACCTGTACTATTCCCTAAAACGCAGTGAAATGAAGGTTAAAACCAAATCCTAAATCTTTGAATTAGGGTAGAGACTCCCTTGTGCACCTTTGTAAAAAAAGGAACGAGGAAGGGTTTCTGGAGCATTTAAGATAGTTACGACTTGTCAGCCTTTTTCTGGAAATAACCATTATCATGGATAGCAAAGGAAGTCAATATTTCCTTTTACATATTTGGCATTAATTTTTTTGGTAACCTAAATGTTTAGAAACATTTCCTTCTTGCAAATCATATACTTCTACCCGGCAAATCTTTCATCTATAATTGTAAGCACTCCAAGCTTGTTCCTACTCTGTTACTCTTTCAAGCAAAGTTGAAAGCCGTTCATAAACTAGAATTATATATTGCAAAAAATAATGGCATACTGACTAAACATTTGGAAAGATGAGTACCTCTCTATTCGTAACTTTACAACTTTGAAATAACTTATTCCTCTCGCAAAAGCCCCGGGGGGTGGGGGGTGGGTACTCCCTTATATTGACTATATAGGTATGTGCGGCTATATAGGTATGTAGGGTTTTTGAGCCGTTTTGGTCATAAATAGGGTATCGATTTTGGCCACTTTGGTCTCAAATAGGGTATGGTTCTAGCACTCTAGTCTTGAATTGCATATGTTTCTTAGAAGAAGCTACTTTTTCATCATTATCAATAAGACCGTCAACAAAAGCCCTTCATGACTTATGTTCAGGGCAACTGTGCGTGCCACAACGGTCATAAATAGGGTATTGAATTTTTGGCCAGGTCATAAATAGGGAAGCAAAAATCGCAGATTTTGGTCATAAGTAGGGTAAGGGTTTTGGGAAGTGGGCCACACCCCTACCCAACTTTTCTGGGAGTACCCCCACCACCCACCCCTGGAAGCAAAGAAACACAACTCTGTAAATTTATATTGTTTGTAGTTAGTTCAGCTGACTATTGCTTTTGTAAATAGGTCTTTCTATGCTTTGCTTTCTATTTTGCTTCTTTTTTCATATTAATGTACTATTGTAACATATTATTTGTGTGTTGGTGGCAGTGAACTTTTTGTAGCTAGTATTGTAAATCTAGTGTCACATTTTCAATCATTAATAAAATTAAAAAAAAAAAAGAAAACAGTCTTTGTATTGTGATGGGGTCAACCTCCAATAATTAATTTTAGAGATTATCAGGTTGTCCAAAATAATGTCTTAATCTTTGGACTTAGTATTGTAAGCAACATGAGTTATCATATTGTACAGTAAGTAGTGTAAGTATTAGTATTGTACACAGTGTATCTACTGTATTGTAAGTAGTGGAAGTCTTAGTATTTTGATTAATGTAAGTAATTTAAGTGTTAGTATTGTAAGCAACACGAGTTATCATATGGCACTGTAAATAGCGTCAGTGTTAGTATTGTAAGGAGCGTAAGTGATCGTATTGTATTGTAAGTATTGTATGTACCATATTCTAAGTAATACATGTAGTAGTGCAAGTCTTAGTATTGTAAGTGGCAAAGTAATTATATTGAATAAGAAGTATTGTAAGTAGTGTAATTTTAAGTAACTGTATTAGCCTTTAAGTAGTGTAAGTATCTGTATAAGTATTGTAACCAATGTGTGTGGCATTCATTAAAAAAAAACTAATAAAATAAGTCTGTGGGCCTAGAGTCATGCAATATTCCAACAAGAGAACAATTATCCCAACATCCACAAAAGTGAGCACAACAACATGGAAGGGACAAAAAAGGCTGGAATTACTCTTTGTGTGATTAGGATCCAGTACATAAATTTTACAACTGCAATAAAATGTGTTTTCACTTTTTGCCTGCATTATTTGGAACATTACTTTACTTCTTAAAATAGAGAACATTCCTGTTTGTATCGAGTTAAAGAAAAAGAGTGAAAAGTTGGGGAAAGGAGATTGCCATTATAAAGAAACAAAAGCTGCAGGAAATTTTTTCTACATCTTTTTTAGTAATCTTGAGTAGAATGGACAAAATGTTTTTTAATATCTTTTAACTTATTGTTTGTACATTGACTCAGCTGCAGGTCTAAAATAATACACAACTTGTAAAGATATGCAGCTGCTGCTGTGTCTTACTGTTAAGTGTCTCAACCCACCTATAATATCATATGGAAAATGATTTGGCATGCCTAATAAAACAAAGTTGTTATGAAAGCCTCCTCAAAGTCAAATAATATTGCATACTTGTTACACAACAAAATTAGCTCCTGAAACCTCCTGTTCCATATTTGTAAGTTGTTATGCATGCTTCTAGTTATACTGCATGTTTGGTAGTTTTATTACATGTTTCAATACTTCACTTGTCTCTGTAGGAGTCCGTTCAATTAACACAAAATGGCCGGCTTCTTATTGTTGGTACTTTGAAGATTGTAGGCAGAGAAGATCACATTATTTTGTCGCAGCTTTGTACTCCTTTTTCCATTTTCTCACACAGTCGAACACATGATGCTTCAGTCCCACTTGCTTTTAACACGTCTGTTGTTTTGTGGCGATGTTGAGACTGACACAGCTGTCTGTTTTTCTCCTCCACTTGAATTCATGAAGCCCAGGAACAGCAAACAACCAACAAGGGCTACAGACCCACTAATCATAATCACTTTGTTCTAATGAAAAATATACAAAATAAAAGGAAGAAAAAAAAGTGCAAAATGTAACATTTAGTCCAATCCAAGCTCTTAAATACCATTTCTTCTTCTGAGTAATCAAAATCAATTTATTTCTCACACTTCGTATTACAGTGAGGAATTTCTCGAACTGTGAACACCTCAATTTGTTTGTACACTCTTTTAGTGGCTATAGAATGAGGTCTCGTCATTTAAACAAGATTATTTAGTGGTTTTATACCGTACAAAAGCTAATCTTGTAAATTACTGGAAGAGGCGTCATTCTATAGCCTGTCTAAGTCATCTAAAAAAAGAAAAAAAAAAACATACATGTACTACAAAAACATACAAATACATTAAAATGTCGAGTGATCATGGTTCGAGTGTCCTTGCTATAGTGTATTCATAAAATAAGTTAAAAGAGATATTATAGGTTATAAGTAATCAACAAAATTGAAAACTTTGTTTTTGAAAATTTTATTTTCCTTAAAAGCTAAAGGTTATACACCCTTAATAAAAGATCAAGCAAAAAGAAATAAAAGACGCTCTGCTCGCAGGGTGAAGGTTATATCCCAGTTTTGACAATTTTGGATGTTGGCTGACCGATGATCGACCTCCATCCACATCAGAAATAAAAGTATATAAAAAATCTAATGCTTAAACTTATAATACTTACTGGTTTGATAAATAATTCCGGATTAATAAGTCTAAAAGCCAATGTGGATTGTCTGCCACCTTTCTTTCCCGGTGAAGACGCCATCTTTTCAAGTCGCTTTAAGAAGACTGGGTGCTAGTGCTCAGTTCCCTTCGATCGTTGGTAACGCCTGCCTATTTTTCGCTTTCGCGCTGCCAAGTTGGAGTACATGCAAGAATTCACAAGAATTCACAATTCATTCCCTCGTGGATCTTGTTTTTGTCATGGAAATCCCTTTTGGAGCTTTAAAGTATTTAATACATGTGTACATGAATGTATCCAGCGCTGTGACGTTTCATCAAAGCGAAGAAACCTGCATGGGTTCAACTTCGGTTCGAGAAGCTCCACGCCCCCCCTACTTCAGCAGTGATAATAATGACATCGGCAGCAAATCTGGCGAACAGAAAATCGAAGGGAAAGGATGCTCGTAGACCTAGCACAGCCCTTGGATATGACGATGTGGTTGACAGCGGTGACCTTTTCAGCGCAGAACAGAAGGAACTTTTGGATCTTATTGAGCAACAGGATGTGAACGAGGTGCGGGAGTTCTTCGCTCAAGGGCCAGCTTTTGATGTGAGTCGAGGCGAAATAGGACGAGTTGCTCTACGTTTAGCTATTTACAACGAACGAGCGGACATCGTAGAGATTTTGCTTGAAAATGGTGTTGGTGTAGGGAATGCTCTTTTCGCGGCAGTTGTCAAAGGTTCTAGAGAATGTGTTGAGCTATTTCTCGACAGTCGTTTTTTCAATAGATCTAGAGGCGACATTGGACCAACTGATCGGCGAGAGGGATTCTTCATGAGCCCACTGATGCTAGCAGTTCGACTCAAAGATCACGACATTATTCAGTACATGTTGTCCAAAGGTTTTGGAATCAACCATCCTGAGGAGTGCCAACCGAAAAAGCAACTGCCAAGTGACAACCAAGAAGAAATACAGTTCTTGCTACACATAAATGCTTACCGTACTCTTTCAAATCCTCTATACATGGGATATTCTTATCTGTATAACCCTGAAAGTGAGCATCCATTAGTTACTGCATTCACTCTGCACAAAACACTTGATGGCAAGGCCATAGCTGATCATGAATTCAAGAAAGACTATGAAGAACTGTCTGAAGGGTGTGAAGAGTTTGCAGTTGGTCTTCTGGAGCAGTGCAGGACATCCGATGAAATTAAAATTCTGACAGATATTCGACTGGACACAAGTCATGGACTTTGTAGGAATGAAAAGCAGGACTTTGAGTTTTGTGCACACACAGAAGAAGCTAAGGAGCTCATATTCCTTAACATGGCATTGAGGAATAATAATGACAAGGTGTGTATAATGTACAGATGACTTTTTATGCAGTTGATCCATCTACGTAGGTATATATACATTTTTAACACAAATCTTTTTTTCCCCAAAAACTGTGATTGCTGACAAAACATCTACTTCAAAGGCAAGATAGCCAAGTAACCGTAGAAGTCCCCAATTGGTTTTGAATATTGCATACATGTACAGTACAGAGTTGAAGTCAGGACTACTTAGACCAAAGTCAGCTATTGTCTGAGAGTGGAGGGTTTCAACTGAGTACTTTAAAATTTAAAGACCAAAGGCCTAAACATTCATCTAGGCTGTCACTCTCTTTACAAATAGGAATAGATGGAATGATTTTTTTTTAATTCTACCCTTTAGCAATATGTGTACTTGTCAAGACTTGTAAACCTACTTTTAATTTAAGATTTCAAGATGCTGCTATGATCTTAAAACATGTTAGTCTCAATATACCAATTTATTAGCCAGCAAAAGTATCGTTCTTCTACCCATTGTATTAACTGAATGAAAAGCAAATGTTTAATGTACAATGTAATATTTTTTATAACCTGATAAATGCCTTGTTTTTTCTGTTTTAGCTCGTCGCTCATCCATACAGCCAGTTGAGGCTCAACCTAGTCTTGCACACTGGAATTCCTGAACTAAACTGTTGCAAAATTATGTGGAGGAAGAGAAACTTCCTAAGTAAAGTGATCTACAGTGTGCGTCACACCTTACTTTTCCCATTTTTGGCTGTCATCTACCTTTTTGCTCCAACCCTACCACTGTCCATTGGTCTGGCAAATCCAGTTGTGAAATTCATTAGTCATACAGGTTCCTTTGCAGTTTTTCTGCTTTTGCTCATTATCTCTGCCTTCCAAGATAAATTTCATGAAGCAGGAAATACTCCAAGTGCTCTTGGTAAGATTTTGCCTCAGGGGTGTTGTTAATAAAAGTGAAAAAATATAAAACAAACAAAGAAACAACAATATAAAAATCAGGAAGGTGCAAATGAGAACACAAAAACATCCTCAAAAACCAACATGATGAAATTGAAAAATACCTCATTGTTTTTTACCCCAGCCCTTCCCCCCCATCCGAAATACATCACATCAATCAATGTAGCATTCCATTCTTAGGGAGTAGTGATTCTTGTCACTTTATGGCACACAACTAAATTAAACACCAAGGCTTATGAGCCACCATGCTAAAAGGCTTTACAATACTTAACTAAATATCCAAAGATCGCAAAGCAGACTTAGTCGTATACATAAAACCCCAAAATTGTACCTCAAGTAGCATGCAACTTATGTTCAAAATTATTGGCAAAAAATGTGACCCCCTAAACTACCAAACTAAATCACCAATTTAAAACCTTAAATATTATTTTTCATCTCGTTTTGGCTTAAAAGAAATACTCACTGCCAATATTGTCAGTTCCAAAATGCCTTCCCAAGGCCATCAGTTCTGTTTTCCTACATTAAAACAATCACATTAGATGACAAACCTTAAAATTTGTTTTTCTTTTCAGAGTGGATTGTCTTTCTTTGGGTGGTGGGTCTGGCAGTTCAGGAGCTTAAAGTGTTTTACAGTCAAGGCTCCAACCTTTACCGACGGCAGTGGTGGAATTTAGTCTCACTGCTCATGATAACCTTCTTTGTGCTTTCCTACTTTTTTCAAATAATTGCTTATGGGCTAGTTGGGAGCTGGGCAGTCCTGGACAAGTTCCGCAAGTTTGTCCCCTCCTTTGGGTACCAACCTATTTTGATAGCCAATAGCTTGTACACTGTCGGCATGGTGCTGAGCTTCTTCCATATCTCCAGTGCTTTCCAAGTGAATGCCACCTTTGGTCCCATGCAGCTGTCGCTGTACCGACTGTTCAGGGATGTGCTCAAGTTCCTGGTCTTTTTTGCATTGCTTTTTGTGGCATTTGGATTGAGTCTCAGAAAGTTGTACTCACATTACGTCAGCACACAGTATCAGTTAAATGAACAGGCAAATGGAACAGGCAATGCAAAGGGCAGAGTGGGTCATCATTTTGCAAGGTACAATGTTTTATTTTTTCTTAGGCCATCCCTTTTTTTCTCTGTTTAGCGTTGTCCGACTGACCCAGATTTTCGCATTTTCAAACAAAAAAGTTACACAGAAGGCAATGAAGGCAACGACACATCATTTCAAACAATTGTCACTTTAATCTGAAACATAAGCAATTTTTTGCCTTACAGATTTTTAGTTTCTCCCTGTTCTCGTTTGATTTTAACAATGACGTCGACTTTTTCCTTTCTCCATTGCCACGATGTTGACTTTGTAACCACACCTTGTTGTTTCCAGGCTCCACGGATATTATGCTGAGGTATCGGGCTTCGTAGTTCCAGACTCCTTTTCCAATTTTATTTTTGTTTTTTTTCCTTTTCCGACTGACCGACCCAAAATCAGAAAACGCATTCGACAATAAACGAAAAAAAAGGGGGGATGGCTGTATTCAGAAAAAAAAAAAATTAGTCTTGGCTAACAGTTCAACCACAGAGGTAAATAAAACTGCACACCATAATATAAAATGAATATAATTACCAACCATTGTAATATTGGCAAGTGCTACAATGTATAAAGTTAAGTTACAGTTGGACCCCACTAATTCAAACTCAGTTATTTTGAACTCTCTCTTACTTTGAACTCAAATCAACCATTTCCAATGGATTTTTCCTTCAGTCCTTTACTATCAGTTATGTCTAACTCTCACTTTTTTTCTTTTCCTCTGGGAATTCAAAATAACAGGGGTCAACTGACGGTATAAATTTACAAATAGGTAGCATTCAATCAAGTTATAAGTACTCCGTCTGGTAACAACAATTGATTATTATTGGTAAATATATTTATGATTACCAAATAGAATATAGTTATAACTAATTATGTTGCCTCAGTTATAAGTCTGTCTGTCTGTCTGTCTGTCTGTCTGTCTGCCTGCTTTTCTGTCCGTTTGTGTGTGTGTCTATCTGTAGGTCAGTCAATCCATTGGTTGGATCTCCTACATGTATTGGCAGTAGCATTTTCATATCCATCACACCCGCTCAGTAGATAAATGCATACATGTACTGGTATACAATTTAATTGTGATACAATGCAGCACATTTATGATTATTTTGCCAAACATTCTGTTTTGTAGGGTAGATAAGGGTCTGGAGAGCTTATTTTGGTCGCTGTTTGGCTTGACTGATTTAGAGACATTTGGAATTGACAAACCTGAGTTTCAGATCACGCAGCAGACAGGAGTTGCACTGTTTGGCTTGTATCAAGTCCTGATTGCTGTGGTTGCAATTAATATGCTGATTGCTATGATGACAAGGTCTTTTGAAACCATTGTGGTGAGATTTCTCATTTAATTTATTAGTACTAACTGCTTTTAACATTCATCCTTTAGAAGCATTCAAATGTACCACAGTTGAAAGAAGCAGTGTCTTAACGATTTGTCTGTTTGTTCGTTTGTTGAACTCTTTCACCCAGGGGTATAAATGGGTACCTCCCTTACTTCGTAGAGGCAAGGTGGCCTCATGCTTAATGTGCTCTCCCCAGATCAAAAGGTCCAGGTTCAAGCCCTGGCCAGGGACATTGTTTTGCATTCTTGGGCAAGACACTCTCTCAGTAACTCTATCCACCCAGGTGTATAAAATTGGGCAAATTTAATGCTGGGGGTAACCCTGCAGTGGACTAGCATCCCATCCAGGGGAGAAGTAGAAATACTCCTAATCACTTCATGCTACAGAAACCAGAGATAATTTAGCGCTGACCTGATGGGCCACTTGGCTTGTATGCTGACTTCACCTACCTACATGTACCCACCTACCTACCTACCTACCTACCTACCTACCTACCTACCTATCCCAGGCCTACATGTATCTTTTACACTACATTTACATCATATGTCAAGGTCTTTGCATCAGATTAACTCTACTGAACACATTTTTAACCTCCAATAAGGTTCCCCTCTCCCTTGGCTCTGTATAAGGGGCACAGAGTCATTTTCTTTAATGCCCATGCACTTACACATCTAATAATAAAGAGGGAAAGATGGTGGTGGGTGATGATCCACCATTTTTGTGGCCTGTGAATTGTGAAAAACCTTTGTAAACCCATATTGAAGTATACTTTGTAAGACTTTTACTATGGTAAAACTCGCATTTGTGTTCATGGCTCTCCTTTTATTTGTCTATTTTATTTTTCTAAAGGAAGCAGAGGATTTACACTGGAAGGTGTCCAGGACTCGCATGTGGATGAACTGGGTGAACAAAGGCAGTGTACTCCCCCCTCCATACAATCTTATCCCTAATCCTAAAGCTGTTATTCATTTGTTCACGAAAATAATGGACAAATGCCGGGGATTTAACCAGGTTGGTTGTAGTCTGCATGGTAGGCTTAGGCAGAAGCGGAAATTAACAAGAAGTGGTGGGGGCAGGGTGCGGGGGGGGGGGGGGTGGTAAAGGGTGTGGGAGCAGGGAGATTGGGAGAGAGAATGGTGAAACAGAGAAAGAGAGAACTGACCCTCCCCACTCCCTCGACTTCTTTCATGCTGTCCACACCCACCCTGCGGCTTAAGCTTAAACCTGGATAGGTGATGAGAAGTGTTCAGTCATATTTTTTATACTCTGATTACTTTTGTCTTTTAGAATTTAGAATCACGTTATGAGGTTAACGTGAACAACCACGACATCCTTGGCGACATACCACGAAAAGTACATGTGAGTTGGAAGCTCATGTATAATTTCGTCTTGAAATGAAATTCAAAGATGAATTCAGCTGGCCATCTTCCCATTTAACCCCTTTATGTTGAGCTTCGCTAGCTAAGTTAGGTTTTGACCGCAAATACTTCTTTTCAGGGATTTGAAATGGTAAAGACCAAATTCAACAGTTGCTCGCACAGGAGAGACGTACTTGTGCAGATTGTAGAACGTTATTTGCACCAAAGGAGGGAAGACAGCAGACATGAGGACTCTGAGAACCTTAAAGACATCAAAGCGATTCAAGAGCTTATGTGGCAGGAACTGGGAAGGCGTGTCGAGGGATTTCCAAAATCACCGTTTAAACGTACATTCAAGAGGTCAACGGCTGCTCAGGTACAGTTCTATTTGGTATGTAAGAGTAGAGTTATAGCTTGGGGAGAGTTGAAAACACTGACCCCCGCTCCGCGGACTATCCAATGACATCCCCACCCCAATCCGCAGACTACCCTACGGACTACTCCGCGGACTACTCCGTGAATTACCCTACGGGCTACTCCGCAGACTATCTACGGACAACTCTGCGGACTACTCTACGGGCTATTCCGTGGATTACCCCATGGGCTACTCCGCAGACTATCCTACGGACAACTCTGCGGACTACTCTACGGGGTTCCGTGGATTACCCTATGGGCTACTCCGTAGACTATCTTACGGACAACTCTGCGGACTACTCTACGGGCTATTCCGTGGATTACCCCATGGGCTACTCCGCAGACTATCCTACGGACAACTCCGCGGACTACTCTACGGGGTTCCGTGGATTACCCTATGGGCTACTCCGTAGACTATCCTACGGACAACT